TTGGGTTCAGTGTGGAAGAAAAAAAAAAGGGGGGGGGGGGGGGCGAATTACTGAAAAGGCCACGCAAAAAAAAAGCGCCGCAATTCGCCTCCACCAATCACATGCGGTAATAAACAGATCAGCTGGTATAGTGTTGACCCGACGTCATGGTCACAAGATGAAATCTCCCCTAGCGTGACCTTTGGGAGGTGTGTCACATGGCTGCTGACCACTGGTCACCGCAGGAACTGCCCCCTGGGGGTGTGTATGTTGTGGGGGAGTCAACTATAAATAGATCAACATGTAAACAACACTTGTATGATAATGGTGTGTAATCCTTACCTTGAAAAGTGAGTAAGAAAATAGATCCACAGCAACACAAAGTCATGTGGCTATGTATTCATACACTGAGCTTCGATACCTTATAACTGTAGTCCTTATGTAGGCCTATGCTGACACAAAAAAATGACGCAATTCAAAACGAGGTCATAATTTGGTAAATTTAGCAAGGACGTGAGCGACTAAGTGTCAAGTGGTCTTGTCAATTTATCAGTGTGGCCTCGGGGTGAAGGTCCATCGGTTTGGGGGGGGGGGGGGTCTTGTCTGATTTTAAATCTAGGTCACGATAAACTAGTTTTTCATCGAGTAACCATATTTGAAGGTCACGGTGTTAAACGCGAGATATTCAACTCGAAAAGTGTTTTTATCAAGGCCATTTGACAAGCCGGGTAACTAGGTACAGAATGTCTATAAAGGCCATTTGACAGGCCGGGTAACTTGGTACAGAATGTCTATAAAGGCCATTTGACAGGCCGGGTAACTTGGTACAGAATGTCTATAAAGGCCATTTGACAGGCCGGGTAACTTGGTACAGAATGTCTATAAAGACCATTTGAAAGGCCGGTTAATTTGGTGTACTGCAGTATATTCAGTGTTTCTTCAAGACTTTTTCTCCTGGGGGGGGGGGGGGGGGGGGGGGGGGGAGAAAAAACTGAAATTTTCGGGGGAGCGGACACTGTTAAAGTATATATTCTCTGTATAAATTCTATTTCGTTCGGGCGGGGAAATCTCCCCCCCCCCCCCCCGAAGAGATGCCTGGAAGAAACTCTGAGTATATTTTGTTTTCTAGTATCACAATTGACCATGTAACCTCAATGAAAACTTTCACACAGTTTAACCTTTCTCTTTAGGTTTAATAGTATCAAGTTTGAAGTTCGTCACTGAAACCCTCCCCCCCCCCCCCGGGCTTCTAACGATTTTTTTTATCGCTAATGCTCCAAGTAGTTCCAAGCAGGCATATAGAATGATATACAAACAAATGAAGATAAATATGTTAAAAACAAATAAGTCTAAAATGTTTTACAACTTTCTGATTTTATTTTACGTTTCAGAGGTTAAACATATTTTTGTAACTTGTTAACAAATGTTGACAGCAGATTAGAAAAACCAAGTCAGCGTTTTTTTTTCTACTTCTTTGACCTTTGGTCCGGCTTTAAAAAGAAAATAACGAGAATCTCAATCACTGCCCTCTAGCATAGACCCACGCCTCCAAGTTCGGTCGAGGGAAGAGATTGACACATAATCCATTTCAAGTCAATGTTCTGTAAGAGTCTAACTCACAGTCGGGGTTATCTCCCCTTCTAGAACTCTTCAGTAACTTTATTTAAAGATCGTTTCATAAGATTTCTGCCCCAAGAAACGAACGTTCGTACCTCAACGTTCAAAATATACAAATAAAAACCACCATGTTTTTAAAATAACAAAGATTTACCGTGAATATTTGAATAAAAGAAAATTATTTTGCCTCACAAATCATCGAATTGATCGTATTTTATTCAGATCGATTAAGCTGTTGTAGAGGCAATAATTATTTATGTTCTCAATATCGGCGTTTACTAAAATTATATTAAATTATACTTGGCAACTTTCGCTCAGCCGACCATAAGAAAGTTTGTGGCAGACATTGAGGACAAATGTAGATTGTTATGCATGTTCCCAAGTTAAGCTCTTACATTGATATTCGGTTTCCTTTGTGTAACTTTTTTTTTTCTCAAGATGAATATTATTTTATTGTCAGGTGCCCACTGGCTTTTAAATATAATTTTGTAATGTTATAATTGGACCGAACAATGCGCTTACATTTACCATTATATATAATAACTATACACGTCTAGAAAAAAAACTTCGCAATAAGTGAGTATCCCCTCACCCCCTCTATACATGTTCTAATAAATCAACGTATAGCAAAGTTTTTTTTAACCCAGAAATGTATTGTCTACATGCGAGTGTAAGGTTCAATCAGCGGTAGGTAGGGGCCTATATTGTTTTTTTGTGTACAAAAACATGACAAGGGAGGTAATATTTTTATCCCGGAATATTTCTATTTGTTTGGGTTGTCTCCTCTGATAAATCAATATTTCAAACATAAATACAGTCAGTGAGTCGGCAGAGTGAAGCATTGCAGGCGACACTAAGAACCGGAAGATTTAAAAAAAAAAAAAGAAGTAAAAACTGAATCAGTTTTTAAGGCTTAGTCTGGTCGCTTCTGTACAAGGATAAGCAGAATTCAAACTGCTTGTTGTATTGTTGCTCTGAGAAGAATTCGTTCTTTCATCAAATATTTATTTAAAAAAAAACGATGTTTTTAATCATAAGCAATAATAATAAAAACCGACAGAATCAGAATTTTTAAAAAAATGAGATCGATAACGGATAAGAGGCCACAGCGTGTATTTTGATATCTCAACAGGTTAAAGGTGGGGCTGGGGTGGGTGATGAGCTGTGTGTGGGGTGAGGGAATGGGTGGGGTGAGGGGATGGGTGGGGTGAGGGGATGGGTGGGGTGAGGGGATGGGTGGTGTTGTAGAACTGGGAGGTGAGTTGGGCTAGGTTGTGAGCTTATGGGTTGTTGTGTGGTGGGTTGTTGTGTGGTGGGTTGTTGTGTGGTGGGTTGAAGGTTTGTGTGGTGGGTTGTTGTGTGGTGTTGAGGGGTTTTGTGGTGGGTTGAGGAGCTGGCTGGAGGGGTTGTGTGGTGGGTTGTTGTGTGGTGTTGAGGGGTTTTGTGGTGGGTTGAGGAGCTGGCTGGAGGGGTTGTGTGGTGGGTTGTTGTGTGATGGGTTGAGGTGCTGGGTTGAGGGTTGAGGTGTTGTGTGGTGGGTTGAGGAGCTGGTTGTCGGGTTGATGGGTTTTGTGGTGGGTTGTGTGGTGAGATGGGCTAATTTTTAGGTTGAGGGATGGGTTGGGGGGCTAGGTAATGGGGGCTGGGTGGTGGGATAAACAAACTGTTGGCCGAGACGTCGCCGGCCGGAAAACGTCTGTCCATCTGCCGAGTTGCCAGCCGTGCTTGCCCATAAGAAAAACTGTTTACCCACAATCCCATCGACTCCACCGTCACAGAGATCTTCAGGTGCCAGAGGTTTAGATAACGTATGATCATACACGTCTTGACAGAATTAGTTCACATAATCGATGGGTCAAGACACTTCACAACTCAGTGATTGGTCATTTTATTTCAGTCTGGCACAGTTCTGTGGCGCTTGATTTTACTGAGACTGTAGGTGGGGGTTTGTGTTAAATCAAACCAGACACTACACACCTGTAGTTGTACATACATATAGTTGTACACACCTTTAATTTTTTATTGTACACACCTTTTATTGGAGGGACGGCGTGGTCGGATGGTAGAGCGTACACAGCTAATCCACAAGTCTCGAGTTCGGATCCCGGGCTCGAGTCTGTAGGACTTCCCTGAGCCCACCCAACTCTGATGGGTACCTAACTCATGTTAGGGGAAGTAAAGGAGGCTGGGTATAGTCCTTACCACACTATCTCTTCAAATATAGAGGTAAGTGAAACAGGTGAACTCTACTTCATTTTCCCCATGCACCTTAAGGTTCTACAGGGTTCTCTAATTGTGCACTCAAGCTATAAACCAGAGTGAGCACTTATTGAACTTGTCACGTGCAATCAGTTTAAGCCCTGATGTTTTCACAAACTTTTGTAACACGGTCAAACATGAAACAAAGCTTCACGGTGGGTGAGAAGAAATCAGAATAACAAGTCGAAAGGAAACGGCCCATAAAGGTACGCGTGACGTCAGACAAACTGCCCGTGTTTACGCCGAGAGAAAGTTGATGTTCTGGGGGTAGTGAAGTTTGTCTTGGCGGCAACTGTAACAGGTAGAATGCAGGTAAACAGTCAGGTAAACAGACAGGTAAACAGATGAAACAGCAGCTCCCCGTAGACGCGAGAACAGTAAATTACATCAGCAGATTGGGCGCTTGGATAAAGCTTAGGTTGGTTTCTCTAGAGGTTAATTAGTGCATAGTCTACCCCACTTCCTGCTCTACGGTCATGACGTACCAACCAATGGCTGCTCATTAAAAAGTCACATGACCAAAACAATGATCAGCAAAGATTGTGACTCAACAAAGATATTTTTGTCTTGTTTGTGGCGGGGGTTGAAGTCAGGGGTAGGATAGTATGTGGGTAGGGACGGGGGTGAAGTGGTGGTTGGTGTCCAACTGGTGACGGGGGTCAAGTGGTGGCTGGTGGGCGTGTCCAGTTTGTGAAGGGGGGTCAAGTGGTCAGCTCTACAGTTTGTAATTGAAAGGATGTTGTTCGAAAAGCAATATGGTTTGACAATATTTTGTATTGTCTGTCTCATGAACCAACTAAGGTAGATTGGTGAGACATCCAACAGGTAGACTGGTGAGACATCCAACAGGTAGACTGGTGAGACAGACAGGTAGACTGGTGAGACAGGTAGACTGGTGAGACAGGTAGACTGGTGAGACGTCATATAGGGAGACTGGTGAGACAGGTAGACTGGTGAGACAGGTAGACTGGTGAGACAGGTAGACTGGTGAGACGTCATGTAGGAAGACTGGTGAGACAGGTAGACTGGTGAGACAGACAGGTAGACTGGTGAGACAGACAACAGGTAACTGGTGAGACATACAACAGGTACAGAACCACACCCTTATATTATCATCAGATACCACACAACACCACACAAATGTCCACACATTGTAAAACAGTTTATTGCTACAGATACAGCATGTATAAAAGTTCTTCCCTAGGGCTCCAGTTGTCTAGGACTGCCCTAGTGAATGGTAACAAAGTTCCAACAGACTTTTCTAGTCCGTCTTGTCCAGTCTTCTAGGCCCGCTTGTCCAAAAGTTCAAGGCTATTGGCCACACTGTCCATATAACCAGACCTGTAGAGTACGTTGTCCAGCCGCCACTGTAGGCCACAGTGTCCAGGCTCTGGTCAAACTTGTCCTACACAAAGTTTGTGGCCAACTTTTCTTTTTGCTCCGTGAGGGCTCTAGCAGCGTGCAGGAACACCGGAAACTGGACACCCTGACGTAGACAAGTGGGCGTGGTCATGATGTCACAACACAAAGCTGACCAACCAGGTCTACAGACAAATGATCCTCACAGTTCTACCTCACAGCTGACCCTCACATCTCTACACACAGCTGACCCTCACAGTCAACACACAGATGACCCTCACAGTCTACACACAGCTGACCCTCACAGTCAACACACAGCTGACCCTCACATCTCTACACACAGCTGACCCTCACAGTCAACACACAGATGACCCTCACAGTCTACACACAGATGACCCTCACAGTCTACACACAGCTGACCCTCACATCTCTACACACAGCTGACCCTCACAGTCTACAGACAGCTGACCCTCACAGTCTACACACAGATGACCCTCACAGTCTACACACAGCTGACCCTCACATCTCTACACACAGATGACCCTCACATCTCTACACACAGCTGACCCTCACTGTCTACAGACAGCTGACCCTCAGTCTACAGACAAATGACCCTCACAGTCAACACACAGCTGACCCTCACAGTCAACACACAGATGACCCTCACATCTCTACACACAGCTGACCCTCACATCTCTACACACAGCTGACCCTCAGTCTACAGACAAATGACCCTCACAGTCAACACACAGCTGACCCTCACAGTCAACACACAGATGACCCTCACAGTCTACACACAGATGACCCTCACAGTCTACAGACAGCTGACCCTCAGTCTACAGACAAATGACCCTCACAGTCAACACACAGATGACCCACACAGTTCTACACACAGATGACCCTCACAGTCTACACACAGCTGACCCTCACAGTCTACAGACAGCTGACCCTCACAGTCTACACACAGCTGACCCTCACATCTCTACACACAGCTGACCCTCAGTCTACAGACAAATGACCCTCACAGTCAACACACAGATGACCCTCACAGTCAACACACAGATGACCCTCACAGTCTACACACAGATGACCCTCACAGTCTACAGACAGCTGACCCTCACAGTTCTACCTCACAGTTCTACACTGAGCTGACCCTCACAGTTCTACCGACAGAAAACACTGACCACTGACCCCCCCCCCCCCAACACCAGAGAGTCCAGACCGAGCTACTGGCAACCTGACATGACGAGATTACCAAGTGGCGGGATGGTCCCTGGTGGACGTGGCGTCAGTGAGATCGATGCTCACCTTGGAGGATTTGATGCTTTTAGTAACAAGACATTCATCAAGCTTAGGCTGGTGGGCCTGGCAGTTCATTCAAGGGCTTATCACTAGAGTTTTGGGTACATTCAGTCATAGGTACAACACAATCATGGGTACAACACAATCATGGGTACAACACAATCATGGGTACAACACAATCATGGGTACAGGTAACACAGGTACAACACAATCAAAGGTAAAGGTAACACAGGTAACACACGATACGTCATGGGTACAGGTAGTGTTCAACATTGAATACCTGGCTTTGTGCCGCTCGGACAAATCCCATGTTAGAGGTCACAGTGACCGCTTCAAGAGTGTCACCGGTTCCAAACACAACCTGCAATCACGACATTTTAGTTACTGTCCAAGCTGCTGTCCATCATACGACATTTTATATACAGCCAAACGACACTTTATATACAGCCAAACGACATTTTATTTTCTGCTCAGCAAACACCATACAATTATTCATCAACATCACCTATAGAGTCACCAATGCTGGCGACTCATGTTCTGTTGCGAAACCAAGTCACGTTGAGGGGGGGGGGGGGGGGGGTGCGTGTGTGTGGGGGGGGGGTGCGTGGAGGTGGAGGGGGGAAGATGGGGTGTGTGACGTGGTTGGGGGTGGGGTTGCAGGTGAATAAACTCACTACCAAGAAAAGAAATGACAAAACATGTTCGAGAAATTCGGTGAATGCCTCAAGTGTGGGGGGTACAGTTGACACCCAGCAAGGAAGTTTGATTTCCAAATATCAACAACTCCGTCTGGAACATTCTTCGATCCACCCGTGCATGCCACCCCACGGGGTGATAGATCACGTGACCAGCCCAAATCACGCGAGAGAGCAGGATTGCCGCGATACCGTGCCGTCCCCCAGCATCCATTCCACAATTTATAAAAACGGATTGGAACTTTATTTTACATATCTGTGCATTAGGGACAGCAGGAAATGACGTCACATCCCGGATGTGTGATAGGACCGCATTGCTGCACAGCGCAATACCCCCCCCCCCCCACACACACACCCGCTCCAATCAGATTGCTTGTTGAGGATCTGACACAGCGCACCGTGATGGACAGCGGCTTGGACAGTAAGGTGATGGACAGTAAGGTGATGGACAGTAAGGTGATGGACAGTAAGGTGATGGACAGTAAGGTGATGGACAGTAAGGTGATGGACAGCAAGATGATGGACAGCAGCTTGGACAGCAAGGTGATGAACAGTAACGCGGACAGCAAGGTGATGGACAGTAAGGTGATGGACAGTAAGGTGATGGACAGTAAGGTGATGGACAGTAAGGTGATAGACAGCAAGGTGATGGACAGTAGGGTGATGGACAGCAAGGTGATGGACAGTAAGGTGATGGACAGCAAGGTGATAGACAGCAAGGTGATGGACAGCAAGGTGATGGACTGTAAGGTGATGACAGCAGCTTGGACAGCAAGGTTATGGACAGCAAGGTGATGGACATCAAGGTGATGGACAGCAAAGTGATGGACAGCAAGGTGAAGGACAGTAAGGTGATGGACAGCAAGGTGATGGACAGTAACGCGGACAGCAAGGTGATGGACAGCAAGGTGATGGACAGTAAGTTGACGGACAGCAAAGTGATGGACAGTAAAGTGGTGGACAGTAAGGTGGTGGACAGTAAGGTGATGGACAGTAAGGTGATGGACAGTAAGGTGATGGACAGTAAGGTGATGGACAGAAAGGTGATGGACAGCAAGGTGATGGACAGTAACGCGGACAGCAAGGTGATGGACAGCAAGGTGATGGACAGTAAGTTGACGGACAGCAAAGTGATGGACAGTAAAGTGGTGGACAGTAAGGTGGTGGACAGTAAGGTGATGGACAGTAAGGTGATGGACAGTAAGGTGATGGACAGTAAGGTGATGGACAGTAAGGTGATGGACAGAAAGGTGATGGACAGCAAGGTGATGGACAGTAAGTTGACGGACAGCAAGGTGATGGACAGTAAGGTGGTGGACAGCAGCTTGGACAGCAAGGTGATGGACAGCAAGGTGATGGACAGTAAGGTGATGGACAGTAAGGTGATGGACAGTAAGGTGATGGACAGTAAGGTGATGGACAGTAAGGTGATGGACAGCAGCTTGGACAGCAAGGTGATGGACAGCAAGGTGATGGACTGTAAGGTGATGGACAGCAGCTTGGACAGCAAGGTGATGGACAGCAAGGTGATGGACAGCAAGGTGATGGACAGTAAGGTGATGGACAGCAGCTTGGACAGCAAGGTGATGGACAGCAGCTTGGACAGCAAGGTGATGGACAGTAAGGTGATGGGCAGCAGCTTGGACAGCAAGGTGATGGACAGTAAGGTGATGGACAGCAAGGTGATGGACAGTCAGGTGGTGGACAGTAAGGTGAAGGACAGCAAGGTGATGGACAGTAAGGCGATGGACAGTCAGGTGGTGGACAGTAAGGTGAAGGACAGCAAGATGATGGACAGTAAGGTGATGGACAGTAAGGTGATGGACAGTAAGGTGATGGACAGTCAGGTGGTGGACAGTAAGGTGATGGACAGTCAGGTGGTGGACAGTAAGGTGATGGACAGTCAGGTGGTGGACAGTAAGGTGATGGACAGTCAGGTGGTGGACAGCAGCTTGGACAGCAAGATGATGGACAGTAAGGTGATGGACAGTAAGGTGATGGACAGCAAGGTGATGGACAGCAAGGTGATGGACTGTAAGGTGATGACAGCAGCTTGGACAGTAAGGTGATGGACAGTAAGGTGATGGACAGTAAGGTGGTGGACAGTAAGGTGAAGGACAGCAAGATGATGGACAGTAAGGTGATGGACAGTAAGGTGATGGACAGCAAGGTGATGGACAGCAAGGTGATGGACTGTAAGGTGATGACAGCAGCTTGGACAGTAAGGTGATGGACAGTAAGGTGATGGACAGCAAGGTGATGACAGCAGCTTGGACAGTAAGGTGATGGACAGTCAGGTGATGGACAGTAAGGTGATGGACAGTAAGGTGATGGACAGTAAGGTGATGGACAGCAAGGTGATGGACAGTAAGGTGATGGACAGTAAGGTGATGGACAGTAAGGTGATGGACAGTCAGGTGATGGACAGTAAGGTGATGGACAGTAAGGTGATGGACAGTCAGGTGACGACAGCAGCTTGGACAGTAAGGTGATGGACAGTAAGGTAATGGACAGTAACGCGGACAGCAGGTGGGCAGAATGTTCGACAGTGTGCTGTACTGCATGATAGACAACACGTTTTGTGGTTCGTTGTTGCCAGTTCTGTGTGTACTGGGAACTGCCCCTGACGAGTGGTGGTAGTGGTGAGTGTTTGTGTGTGTGAGAGCGAGAGTGTGAGTGAGAGAGAGTGTGTGTGTGAAAAAGAGAAAGGAGAGAGTGAGAGTGTGTGTGTAAGTGATTGAATGTGTGTGTGCGCTTGGCTATGCCGGACAAAGGAGAATCGAGATATCGGCCCAATGAAAAAACACCATTCATCAAATGCAAATAAATATTTGCTTGGGTCGGCGCTCCTCTCAGAGTAGAGCCGCTTTAGGTGGCTCTCTCAGAGTAGAGCCGCTTTAGGTGGCTCTCTCAGAGTAGAGCCGCTTTAGGTGGCTCTCACAGAGTAGAGCAGCTTTAGATGGCTCTCACATAGCAGGGCCGCTTTAGGTGGCTCTCTCAGAGTAGAGCCGCTTTAGGTGGCTCTCTCAGAGTAGAGCCGCTTTAGGTGGCTCTCTCAGAGTAGAGCCGCTTTAGGTGGCTCTCACAGAGTAGAGCAGCTTTAGATGGCTCTCACATAGCAGGGCCGCTTTAGGTGGCTCCTCACAGAGTAGAGCCGCTTTAGGTGGCTCCTCACAGAGTAGAGCCGCTTTGTTATTAGATAGAACAAAATGACCCCTTTGTGCCAGATTCTATGAGAATGACCACTTTGTTGCCAGATACTGAGAGAATGACCACTTTGTTGCCAGATACTGAGAGAATGACCACTTTGTTGCCAGATACTGAGAGAATGACCACTTTGTTGCCAGATACTGAGAGAATGACCAGTGGTGCTAGGGACAACGAGAGAATGACCACTATGTCTTGGTCTGGTACACAATGGCGAAGAAGAAAGGCTGTATTTGTGGACACGATCATTTTCCCCACACAAAACAATCTCTTCCTGTCCACATCAATCACGATTCTCCGATACTCGATTACGTGGGCAAACGATACCACGGGATCGATGTGTCACAATGGACGCGGCTATTAGCGCGTGTGTATTTGTGTTCGTGTTTTTATTCATGCGTGCGTTTGTTATTGAGGTGCGGAATAAAAAAATTGGGAGGTGGATACGAAAAAAAAGTTTGAAAGATAAAAACTATTTTCATTTTTGAAATGTATCTTGCTGGTAGTTATTATTTATTATACAAACTTTGGTCAATGGTTTCTATTGAGGAATTTCGGTATAAAATTCTAATGAAATAAGATAATTCGTCATATGGCGTACAGCCCATTTTATAGCATCACTGAACCCCAGCAACAGACCCACCTTAGACCCACCCAGCCGACCCCAACAGACCCACCTTAGACTAGCCCAGCCGACCCCAGCAAAGACCCCCTTAGACTAACCCAGCTGACCCCAGCAAAGACCCCCTTAGACTAACCCAGCTGACCCCAGCAAAGACCCCCTTAGACTAACCCAGCTGACCCCAGCAAAGACCCCCTTAGACCAGTCCAGTTGACCCCACCAGACCCACCTTAGAGCGCTCCTTGATCCTCCCTTGACAGCGCAGGTTCGCCGCCCTCTGGGACGGGTTGTCTCCCACGACCTTGACCCTTGACATGAGCGCCGCTGACCTCATCTTCTCCCCGGGCCCGCCCAGCGTGTCCAGGATGGTGTTGAAGCTCCTCAAGGCCGTCTCGCACACAAACAGCTCTTTTCCTGTGGAACACAGTCAGACAGGGAACATACAGTCACGTACAGCTTCACTAAGACAGGGAACACAGTCAGGTACAGCTTCACTAAGACAGGGAACATACAGTCACGTACAGCTTCACTAAGACAGGGAACACAGTCAGGTACAGCTTCACTAAGACAGGGAACATAGTCAGGTACAGCTTCACTAAGACAGGGAACATACAGTCAGGTACAGCTTCACTAAGACAGGGAACATACAGTCAGGTACAGCTTCACTAAGACAGTAGGGAACACAGTCAGATAGGGAACACACAGTCAGGTACAGCTTTACTAAGACAGTAGGGAACATACAGTCAGGTACAGCTTCAGTAAGACAGGGAACATACAGTCAGGTACAGCTTCACTAAGACAGGGAACATACAGTCAGGTACAGCTTCACTAAGACAGTAGGGAACACAGTCAGATAGGGAACACACAGTCGGGTACAGCTTTACTAAGACAGTAGGGAACATACAGTCAGGTACAACTTCACTAAGACAGTAGGGAACATACAGTCAGGTACAGCTTCACTAAGACATGGAACATACAGTCAGGTACCGCTTCAGTAAGACAGTAAGGAACATACAGTCAGGTACCGCTTCACTAAGACAGTAGGGAACATAAGTCAGGTACAGCTTCACTAAGACAGGGAACATACAGTCAGGTACAGCTTCACTAAGACAGTAGGGAACATAAGTCAGGTACAGCTTCACTAAGACAGGGAACATACAGTCAGGTACAGCTTCACTAAGACAGGGAACATACAGTCAGGTACAGCTTCACTAAGACAGGGAACATAGTCAGGTACAGCTTCACTAAGACAGGCAACATACAGTCAGGTACAGCTTCACTAAGACAGGGAACATACAGTCAGGTACAGCTTCACTAAGACAGGGAACATACAGTCAGGTACAGCTTCACTAAGACAGGGAACATACAGTCAGGTACAGCTTCACTAAGACAGGGAACATACAGTCAGGTACAGCTTCACTAAGACAGTAGGGAACATAGTCAGGTACAGCTTCACTAAGACAGGGAACATAGTCAGGTACAGCTTCATTAAGACAGGGAACACAGTCAGGTACAGCTTCACTAAGACAGGGAACATACATCAGGTACAGCTTCACTAAGACAGGGAACATAGTCAGGTACAGCTTCACTAAGACAGGGAACATAGTCAGGTACAGCTTCACTAAGACAGGGAACACAGTCAGGTACAGCTTCACTAAGACAGGGAACATAGTCAGGTACAGCTTCACTAAGACAGGGAACATACAGTCAGGTACAGCTTCACTAAGACAGTTGGGAACATAGTCAGGTACAGCTTCACTAAGACAGGGAACATAGTCAGGTACAGCTTCACTAAGACAGGGAACACAGTCAGGTACAGCTTCACTAAGACAGGGAACATACATCAGGTACAGCTTCACTAAGACAGGGAACATAGTCAGGTACAGCTTCACTAAGACAGGGAACATAGTCAGGTACAGCTTCACTAAGACAGGGAACACAGTCAGGTACAGCTTCACTAAGACAGGGAACATAGTCAGGTACAGCTTCACTAAGACAGGGAACATACAGTCAGGTACAGCTTCACTAAGACAGGGAACATAGTCAGGTACAGCTTCACTAAGACAGGGAACATAGTCAGGTACAGCTTCACTAAGACAGGGAACATAGTCAGGTACAGCTTCACTAAGACAGGGAACATAAATCAGGTACAGCTTCACTAAGACAGGGAACACAGTCAGGTACAGCTTCACTAAGACAGGGAACATAGTCAGGTACAGCTTCACTAAGACAGGGAACATAGTCAGGTACAGCTTCACTAAGACAGTAGGGAACATACAGTCAGGTACAGCTTCACTAAGACAGGGAACATAGTCAGGTACAGCTTCACTAAGACAGGGAACATAGTCAGGTACAGCTTCACTAAGACAGGGAACATAAATCAGGTACAGCTTCACTAAGACAGGGAACACAGTCAGGTACAGCTTCACTAAGACAGGGAACATAGTCAGGTACAGCTTCACTAAAACAGGGAACATACAGTCAGGTACAGCTTCACTAAGACAGTAGGGAACATACAGTCAGGTACAGCTTCACTAAGACAGGGAACATAGTCAGGTACAGCTTCACTAAGACAGGGAACATACAGTCAGGTACAGCTTCACTAAGACAGGGAACATAGTCAGGTACAGCTTCACTAAGACAGGGAACATAGTCAGGTACAGCTTCACTAAGACAGTAGGGCATTGACTACTTGCAGACAACGGTGAAAGGGAAGGCATTTTATTAGCTGTAAAAATGTACTGCACTAAATCACAGAGAAAAACAAATAACACTAGGGAAAAAAATTAAAATGGACAAAGCTTCGGGCAGCTGTTTTTGGTAGAACAATTTTTGTGACGATTGTTTTTGGTAGAACAATTTTTCTGGCAATTGTTTTTGCTAGAACACTTTTTGTGGCAGCTGGCAAGTTATCAGCTAAGAAATGCGAAAGACGTACACAAAATCAGATGTGATATGTGAAATGGAGAGGGGAGAAAACACCGGAATCATTAGGCTGGAGTGGGGAATAAAAGGGCAACCCATCACCCCAATCACCAGCAATTATACAACTGATGTTACAGCGTCCGGTTACCATGGCAGCGCCAGTCGAGTCGCGCAGAGTGACGTCTCTTAGGTTAACCCTTAAAATACCAGTGGGAGAAGGGTTGGGGGGGGGGGGGGGGGGGCCTGAGAGGAAAAGACGGTTGACTTGGGCCTGGGATTAGCGGAACTGGTAGAAAACATGGGTTATGGGGATTATTTTGGGAAGATGTGTGGAGGCGGGGATTTTTATTGAGGAATTATGAGCGTTATGTGTGAGTTACTGTTGTGGGAAAGGGGAAGCTACACGAGTGATTATGTGGAGAGAAGGGTCTATTAATGTAAGATATCTGAGGAATACCCAACACCTACGGGTTGGTGCTATAATTAGAGGAGCTATGTTGATAGAGGGTGGGGGGTTAAGGGGGGGGGGGGGGTACTGGCTGCGGACAAACAGCATTAAAGCTGTAGACATTCAGGGCGTTTTACAATTATGGAACAATAGGTTACCTTATACCAGTGAAATATGGGCAGTGTGTGTGGGTGTGGGAGGGGGGGGTGAATATAACAGAACTATGAGAAAAAGAAGTCTGGCAGATTCTAATGTGAAAATATGGGGGTCTTATTTATTTAGGCATGATGCTAAAAACAATAAATAATATAGAAAAAACATGATAAATTTCGACATTTTATTTTTCTGAGACAACAAACAGGCGCTGGTTATTTGACACGGGTTGTTCATAATGCAGCAAGACGCTAGCTAATATGTCAGAGAGGTTGGGGCACGTCGGAGGCCATCCATCTTTCTTGGGGTGACACCTGCTGGTGCTGATGAGAAATGACAATCCAAAATGGCAGGTCAGCAAGAATATTTATAGCCTCATGGCTAGACCAGATTTGGAATCAGGGACCGGTTGATCGATGGATAACCACAGAACACAAGGTTGACTGGACAACCTGATGTCTGGACAACCTGATGACTGAACAACCTGATGACTGGACAACCTGATGACTAATGTCTTGACAACCTGAAGACTAGACAACCTGATGACTGGACAACCTGATGACTGGACAACCTGATGACTGGACAACCTGATGACTCATGACTGGACAACCTGATGACTGGACAACCTGATGACTGGACAACCTGATGTCTGGACAACCTGATGACTGGACAACCTGATGACTCATGAATGGACAACCTGATGACTGGACAACCTGATAAGTGATAAATAGTCCATATAATTCGTAACTGGACAGCCGACTGATTAATGAAAGGACATATTGATACGTGATAATTGGTCCACTTAATTAATAACTGGGCAACCGTCTGATTAATGAATGGGAAACCTGACAATTAAAAATTGGGAAATCGGATAATTAATAAGACAAGCTGATAATTAATGACTGGACAACCTGTTATTCACCAGAAAACCCTTAATTTACTGGAAGAGATTACGGACATCGGTCAACCTTTGAAAGAGGGGAACATTTATGACGTGTTCAAATGGTCAGCGTGTCCCATGTCCATTAAGTTTTATAACGATAGCATTTCGTTTCGCTACAAATTTATGGGTAAAAGTAGCCCCCCCCCCCCCCCCCCCCATCAGCGCAGTCCAATAAAGGTTTTTAAATCCCATACTAAACTGTAAGTTCAATAAAGTTTGTAAAAGCCCAAACTAAATAAAGTAAACGCCTATTGAATAAAGTTTATAAAAGCCCATACTAAAGTATACAGTAAGTCCAATAAAGTTTATAAAAGCCCACACTAGAGATAGTATTTTCAACTTCCCCCCTCCCATTTATTACGACGACCAGTAGGCTGATGAGCTGCCCAAAATAATTTCCAGCGCTAGAAGAAAAAAAAACACCAGCGGCTGCGAGACACTTGGGCTGAAATGGTTCGATATTCGCTCTCGGAGTCAAGACTCACTTCAGCTAGGACATCAAGTCAAGATTCTAGACGCGAACACCTTCACACGCTCTGCTTGTAGTGTAACACAAGATTGGCCAGCAAAAAGGGCTGAGCTGGTGCATGAGTCAGGTAGATGGTGTTGTTGTAAGCCTTTTAGAATGTGCCAGTCCGGGGAATCTGACTCGTTACATTGCAAGTTATTAGTTAGTCAGTCAGTGGCGTGATACAGACAGACACACGGCGATGTTGTCATAGATCAAAGAGGAGCTAGCTACATCAGTGTTGTTGATAGGGCAGCCAGTAGAGCGTATGATTGCTAACACCAAAAGTCCCGAGTTCGGACCACGGGCAGATGAGGCTAGTTAGCTGGGGACAGCAACCCATCTAGAAAAGACAACCCCAAAATCAAACAACTCCTTCCTTACAGAGTTTTCTTGGGAGGAAAAAGGCTATAGAGGAAACAAAACCGGAAAGAAAC